AAGGGGGTAAAAGTGCTCGGTATTGAAGTGTTTAAAAAAGGCCTGGATTCTTTCCTAGATACACATAATACAGCATAACTGGTTACCAACATTCATAGGTAAAGTTGATCCAGGGAATATCCTATTGCCTCTCGGGGGATCAGGAAGGAATATGTTCCCCTGCAGGAGAAAATTGGATCATGCTTTGCTGGGTTTTTTTGCCTTCCTCTGGATCAACTGTGGGTGTAAGATTAAAACTTTTTTTTTCTTTTATGGTTGAACTGGATCGACTTTTGTCTCTTTTCAGCCAGACTAACTATGTAACTATGTAACCTCAACCCAAAGGAAAACCTTTGGGATGAAATAGAGCGGAGACTGCAAGCCAGGCCTTCTTGTCCGACATCAGTGCCTGACCTCACAAATGTGCTTCTGGAAGAATGTCCAAACATTCCCATAGACACACTCCTAAACGTTGTGAACAGCCTTCTAGAAAAGCTGTTATAGCTGCAAAGAGTGGGCAACTCAATATTGAACCCTACAGACTAACACTGGGATGTCATTAAAGTTTATATGCGTGGAAAGGCAGCCGTCCCAATACTTTTTGCAATATAGTATATATGTAAGTGTGAATCTGCTTAAGAAATGTGAGAAGGATTACAAAAGGTGCATGAAAGAGCTAATCTCAGCAATAAACCGTATTTGATTAGAAAACTATACAAAACCAAACTGATGACAGGTCTGGATATGCAGGATTACATAAGTCATGCCTTGGAAATGGGTTAAACACCTGTGAGGTATAGGAGAAGAAATAAAATATTTTCATATCACAGCACTATTACTTAGTGGTTTACCAGAAAGTTATAAAATGCTTGTCACAGCACTTGATGCTCGTCCAGATGATGAACTGACAATTGGAATATGTCAAAGGCAAGCTTGTGGATGAATATAAGCGTAAAATAGAAAGCATTAGTAGTGGTGGTGCTTCTGTCGCTGAGTCTGCTTTAAAGACAGAAAATAGGAATAAAAACAATAACATGTAACAAGAAACACGTGAATGCTTTGTGTGCAAACAAGGTCATTTAAAAACAGATTGCAGAATCTGTAAAGTTAGAATGCAAAAACAAACTAAAGTACAAAAGGCCAAAAGTGTGAAGGAAGGAACTGATTTTTCTTCAGATAATGAAAAAGTTGCACCTCATCTTTGTAGGCATGGTGTGGTGATTCAGGAGCTATAACAAATGACAGAACTTTCTTTATTCACCCTGGCCAGAGTAAAACAGAAAAAAATCACCACAGCCAATGGGTAAATAATGGAATCAGAAGGATAAGGAGACAATTTTCTTTACTGCCCTATTTCCCAGAGTGTCACCAGAAATATACCTGTGAAAAATGTCCTGTATGTCCCTGCTCTTGAAACTAATCTTTTGTCAGTAAAGAAGCACACAAAACTAAGCAATGTAGTGACCTTCCAAGGTGACAGTTGTGCCTACAACTGTCATCTGTTTGCAGAAAAGCAGCACGTAAAAACTTGGATTGTGCACTGTCTGTTCTGTAGGGCTATATGCAGAATCTCTAACAAAAGAAAATCCCAAATTTAGGGTTGTCTCCATAAAAGTTGTAGAGAGGAAATCTTCCAATGGGGACAGTAGTTCTGGTGACCTTGGGGTCACAAAGGATTATCCTAACGTGCAGGGATTTTCTCTCACTGTTTTGGCTATGAAACAGGAAGTGAAGGTAAATTTTCTCTAATGGGACACAGATGGGAAAAAACTAATCTGACAGGGGTTATAACCCTCCCTTACTCTATCCAAAATACATTTTTTAAACCAGTGTTTAGTGTCACTTTACTTTAGATTAAAAGAAATATATATATATATATATATATATATATATATATATATATATATACACACACGCTGTATATTACAAATGTTTAGTATAAATCTTTAAAAATGTCAAGCCTGTTACATCAAATACTTAAATAATATTCCCTAGAAGAAAATACCAGGAGGTACATAGAAGTTCCTTCAAATTAAAATAAATCATCCCGAGTGCGGCTGGAGAGGCCCCTGAATCTAGGAAAATACTTCTCAGGTTCTTCAACTTTGCTAAGCCTCTGAGTTTTGGTATTTCCCCAGCTATCTGACTATTTAACATTATGGCCTCAATGGCCAGTAGAAAGACACGGAACCTAAACTGGGCTAGGGATGGCAAATACCTAGGGCAGCCATGAGGTGAGGGAGAAATTAATGTGGAATTTTAGGCTGGCCCCTTTTGCAGGTATAGCTATGTAAAACATTAATAATAAGTGCCTATACTGTTTACAATCCAGTAATACACTGTCTCACCCTGCTCTGCACATGCTCAGTTGCTCTATTTTTAGGCACTGCAGAATTTGAAGGCTGATCTGCTGACAGCCTTACAGCAGAATTAAACCCACCTATTATTTATAGGAAGCTGCTTCTGTTTGATCTGCAACTGCCATGGTGCTGCACATGTGATCACTTATGACACCAGACATTTGATGGTTTGACAGTTTGGTTGAGGATACAAGAAAATGTGACAGTTAGCAATCCTGGCATTCCAGGAATGTAAGTTTTTTGAAACGTTAAATCGATGGGTTTAATTCCACTTCATGATTTACTGCTGTTCAGGGGCTCCAGGCTGCAGCAAAGTGGCGGCCTCCAGCAAAAAGAAATGCTGGAGGCAATTTACAGCACACATTCATTTTGTTAGCGTCAATATTATTGTGGAATGTACGTTCCTTGCTAAAGAACAATATTTTTTTTTATCAGGTTGTTATGGGTAAAGTTCCTCTTTAATCACTTGCCTACTGGACACTTATACCCCCTTTAGGGCCCAGGTCAATTTTCAGCTTTCAGCGCTGTTGCACTTTGACAATTGCGCGGTCATGCAACATTGTACCCATATGAACTTTTTATAATTTTTTTCACACAAATAAAGCTTTGTTTTGGTTGTATTTAATTGCCACTGTTTTTTTTTTTTTTTTTTTGCATTATAAAAAAAAAAAGCAAAAAAAAATTGAAATTGAAAACCGGTAATTTTTCTCCTTCACTGATGTGCATTGATGAGGCTGAACTGATAGGCAGCACTGTTCTGTGACAGCTTCCAGTTATCGACAGTACTTCCTCACACTGTGACAGCGTAAGGAAAGTGCTGCCGATAACCGGCAACTGTATTTACTCCATCATCTGCTGTGTCAATGGACACAGCTGATCACATGGTAAAAGGCTGCTGTGATTGGCCTTTTACCTCGTCACGTGATCAGCTGTAGGAGACAGTGATCATGGAGATCACTGGGTGCATGCCCCTGGGGGCGCACTGGAGGGCGCATTCTGGGAGGACGTCATATGATGCCCTCCTAGAACTGGGTAACTGCCGTCATTTGGCTATAGCGCAGTTACCAAGTGGTTAAGGACTCTAGGTAAAGTTCTGCTTTTAGGGCTCCAGCATCTGTTTGCTTGGGTTCACATACAATTATTTATTTAAAAAAAAAAAGTATTGGGAGCAGTGTGTGGCTCTTTTTTTTAAAGTGTGTATAGTTACATATTTGGTAAGGTTAAATAAAGACACCAGGATGTCCCCTTGAACCTAAGAATAACTGAGTGGCACAAAAGAGTATTGGACAGGGAGGGGGTAACTTATCTAAAGTAAATCAATTATTTTGCCCATTTATGGCAAATTTATTAGCTCTCCCAAACCCACTTATAATCCTCTTTGCTGTGCTCCCCTGCCACTCCCTTTTGCTGTTTTTCGCTGCAGTTAATTGGTGACATGGTCCCCTTTGCCTACCCCTACCCCATTGCCACTTCATGTAGTGAACTAGAGGCCTGAAAACAGAAGCACAGAAAGTGTCAAAAAACATATACAGCCCATCTCTGCAATACGTGCACATTTCTGCATGTTTTACGTAGTTAGTCTGGCTGAAAAAAAAAGACAAAAAGACATTATCCCCATAGATGGGCGCAGCCTATGGCAGGGTGTGCACCCCAAAGCTCAAAACACACATGTGTGTGTCCACATATATTAGGCTGGCACACCCAGCACACCCTGTGTGCACGCCTATGTTTATCCCTGTAATGATCCTGCAAGTACAAAAAAAAAACTTGTTGATGTCCCAGAAATGCACTCAGTCCTGTTATCGCACTGATATTTTGTGGGCAAGTGTTGCTGGCCCTGCCCAGTTTTCACTTGTCAAACTACTCCTCTGTCTCCAAAAGACTAATCATTCTGTAGCCCTAAAAAAGCACATGGAGGATTCATTATTTTCCGAGATATCACAAGGAGTGTGCATTGAACACATTGAATTTCTGACTTGATCAGGAATTTTTTTGCACTTCTCAAACTGATAACAAAAATCACTTTCAATGGTGTATTTAAAGAATATGTAAACCCAAGATTTTATATTCCTGATATGTGCCTGCTGTACAATGTACTTGTATGAAAAAGTATTCTGTTCTCTTTGTATTGCTATCTTTGTGTCAAATCCCTATTAAAAACTGACCACACTAGGCAGAAGAGCACACCACTGTCAGTTTTCCTACTCTGCCGGGAACTCAGTGTGCATCCTCCATGATCAGACTTGTCCCACACCCCCTCCTGCACAGCCTTTCACTAGGAAGATAAGCTTACTGCTGTTTCCCTTCTGCCAGCTCTTATGTAGCTGAGAACAGAGGGTATGTGATGACTTATATATATATATATATATATATATATATATATATATATATATGGATTGTTTTACAAGATGGAGGTTTACAATCACTTTAACAGATCAAATGAGAGCAAATAATAAAAAGTTTAGCGTTACGTTTTACTTACCCTTTAAGGAATCAGGGAAGTATTAATGAATATTTATGTGAAGTGATTAGAGATGAGCGAAGTATTCAAAAATTCGATTCGACTGATTCGGCAAATTCGTGGAAAAAATTCGATTCGAGTCGAATATATTCGCTGCGAATTTAACTTATAAAAGGGTGTTTCTAGGCTTCAGAGAGCCTTTATATTAGTGCAGAACACTGTACCTTTAATTTAAATGCCCTTGGAGTCTGCTGGGGAAGAGAAATAATACTGACAGTCAGTATGACATGCAGATGAGTGCCGTCGATCTTAGAATCACCGCACACTTCACTCATTTGGGCAGTCACGGGGCCAAAACCAGAGTGTGGAGCCACAGTGTGGCGGTGGAGGCAGCAGCAATGGGAGGCCATACAGCACCCTATGACAAAAATGGAAACCACCAGCAGTGTGAGGAGACCTGAAAGTGGCACATGGCAGAGTGTGGCGATGGAGACAGCAGCAATGGGAGGCCGTACAGGGACCCATGACACACTCTGGACCTGTCAGCAGCATGAGGAGGCGGTACAGGGGCCCATGACAGATTACGGGCCTGGCAGCAGCATGAGGAGTAGGTACGGGGGCCCATGGCAGATTACGGGCCTGGCAGCAGCAATGGGAGGCCGTACAGGGACCCATGACACACTCTGGACCTGGCAGCAGCATGAGGAGGCGGTACAGGGGCCCATGACAGATTACGGGCCTGGCAGCAGCATAAGGAGTCGGTACGGGGGCCCATGACACACTCTGGACCTGGCAGCAGCATGAGGAGGCGGTACAGGGGCGCATGACAGATTACGACCCTGGCAGCAGCAACTTGGACAGGAGGACGTTCAGCTTCTGCACCGTCGGGTGCGTGCTCGCAAACTGTTGTCTCTTGGAAACGTATTCCAAGAAAGACTGCTGACGAAATCCGTGAAGAGGAGTAGCAGAAGAAGGAGCATCTGAACGAGCAGAATATGCCAACAAGCGACAACAGGGGCCCATGACAGATTACGGGCCTGGCAGCAGCAGCATGAGGAGTCGGTATGGGGGCCCATGGCAGATTACGGGCCTGGCAGCAGCAATGGGAGGCCCGTAATCTGCCAGCACCCTATGACAAAAAATGGAACACACCAGCAGTGTGTGAGGAGACCTGAAAGTGGCACATGGCAGAGTGTGGCGATGGAGACAGCAGCAATGGGAGGCCGTACAGGGACCCATGAGAGACTCTGGACCTGGCAGCAGCATGAGGAGGCGGTACAGGGGCCCATGGCAGATTACGGGCCTGGCAGCAGCAATGGGAGGCCTGTAATCTGCCAGCACCCTATGACAAAAAATGGAACACAACAGCAGTGTGAGGAGACCTGAAAGTGGCACATGGCATGAGACACTGTGGACCTGGCAGCAGCATGAGGAGGCGGTACAGGGGCCCATGGCAGATTACGGGCCTGGCAGCAGCTATGGGAGGCCCGTAATCTGACAGCACCCTATGACAAAAAATGGAACACACCAGCAGTGTGTGAGGAGACCTGAAAGTGGCACATGGCAGAGTGTGGCGATGGAGACAGCAGCAATGGGAGGCCGTACAGGGACCCATGACACACTCTGGACCTGGCAGCAGCATGAGGAGGCGGTACAGGGGCCCATGGCAGATTACGGGCCTGGCAGCAGCAATGGGAGGCCCGTAATCTGCCAGCACCCTATGACAAAAAATGGAACACACCAGCAGTGTGAGGAGACCTGAAAGTGGCACATGTTTGGGGCATGATTCATGGCGGATTTAGTCAGTTGTGTCAGGAACTGGTGGTTTGAAATCCAGACTAATCCACGCCTGATTCATTTTCACAAACGTGAGTCTCTCCACACTTTGGGTGGACAGTCGTGTCCTCCGCGGAGTTACAATATCTCCTGCCGCACTAAACACGCGCTCCGATGCCACGCTACTGGCCGGGCATGACAGCCTTTCAAGGGCAAATTCAGCTAGTTGGGGCCAAAGGTCAAGTTTCATTGCCCAGTAGTCAAGGGGATTGTCTACCTCGGTTGGCAGGGTGCTGTCCAAGTAGGCCTAAGCCTGTTGTTTGAGGTCCTGCTCCAGGTCCACCTGATGCTGCTGCTGCTGCGGCTGGTTAGTAGTTTCCTCACTGCGCTGGTGAAGAAAGCTACTCATCATCGACTGCAGACTGAGGCAGCCGCTGCTGGTGGAGCTGCCACTGCTCCTACCACCCCACCCCTCCCCTGCTGCCATGGCAGCGGAACGCGAGCGCACAGGGCCCACAGTGTCTGAGGATGGACGTTGGCGCAGACAGGCAGAGACCAGCTGACTACATAGGTGGTTTTTATAGTACGTTATTTTGGCCTCCCTCTCAGCAGGTGTGAAAAAGGCCACCATTTTTGAACGGTAGCGAGGGTCCAACAAGGTGGACAGCCAAAAGTCAACCCTCTGTCTGATGGTTATTATTCGGCTGTCGCTACGCAAGCAAGCGAGCATGCTATGGGCCATTTGTGCCAAGGAATGCGAGGGACTCCCTGCCTCCATCTCCACAGCATACTGCCACGGTGCGTCTGGGTCCTCTGTCTCCTCCTCCTCCTCCTCTACCAGATGCTCCTGCTCCTCCACTCCTGTCCGCTGAGTGGAAAAACCACCCATTTCACTCAATAATTCCTGAGCACCAATGTCCTCCTCTACCTCCTCCTCTTCTTCCTGTCCTGCCCCCACAGGGGTCATGTGGCGTTGAGATCTGTGCGCCACGTCTACCGCACCCTGACCAGCCATTGTTAACAGCATTTGTTCCAGGACGTGCAACAGAGGAATGACGTCGTTCATCCCATAGTCCTGCCGACTCACGAATAGCGTGGCCTCCTCAAAGGGCCTGAGCAAGCGCAGGTGTCACGCATGAGCTGCCAATGGCTGACATCTAAGTTACACAGGGAGTACCTTTATCGGCTTGTAACATCAGGAAATCTGTGATGGCCTTTCGCTGTTCGTAAAGGCGGTCTAACATATGTAGGGTTGAATTCCACCTTGTTGCAACGTCACAGCATGAGGAGTCGGTACGGAGGCCCATGGCAGATTACGGGCCTGGCAGCAGCAATGGGAGGCCCGTAATCTGCCAGCACCCTATGACAAAAAATGTAACACACCAGCAGTGTGAGGAGACCTGAAAGTGGCACATGGCAGAGTGTGGCGATGGAGACAGCAGCAATGGGAGGCCGTACAGGGACCCATGAGAGACTCTGGACTTGGCAGCAGCATGAGGAGGCGGTATAGGGGCCCATGGCAGATTAGGGGCCTGGCAGCAGATATAGGAGGCCTGTAATCTGCCAGCACCCTATGACAAAAAATGGAACACACCAACAGTGTGA